CAAAAACCTAATTACCCTATATAATAATATAAAAAGATTCTAATACCTACAAAGAGAAGCCAACGTTCCCTACACCTTATTTGCATAAGTTACTAACGTTTACAAATAGTCCAAACGCTACTATTTTTCATACGGTGCATGTTTGAGTTTCTATGTCCATGTCTCTATTAGTGTTACTTTTGGAAAGATTGCCACAGAATTTTGCGATCAATTCGTCGTTATTTTTCCGCTGAAGAGATTCTTTACATCAAATTTGAAAAACAATTTATGTGCATTTTGGTTTGTTCATTCTTTCATTTATTGTTTCGGCAATGCTTCGCGAATCAAAATAATGAGTATGTCTTGATCTGCTCAATTTGTTTATGCTATTGTCTATAGTTTAATATTTATAGCCCGAGGAGTGCTCGGTGCTTTAGTTATTAATGCTTAGTTTACCATCAGATACTATCTACACACTTTGACTATTACATTATTATACGGAAGGAAAGTCTGCCAATTTACTTATTGAAGAAATTTGAGTTGGATTTCAGATAAAAAAAAATTGATGTTGCCATTTCTCACTCACAAAACTTCTGAAAATATAGGATTTTCTAAGAACTCATAACATAGATAGTAACTTATGTATTTTATCATGGTATGGTAGGATAGTAGAAATTCTTCTCTGAATCAGAAATCTCGAATTAGAGCATTAAGAATAAAAACTTTTTCGATAGATAGCAGTTTAATTGAAGAACTGCAATTAAACTGTTTTAGCTTATAAAGATTAACTCTCAAGCTTTGACAGAGTAAATTGTTCTTTTTTTTTTTCTGTTTAATTTTCGTAGTGGGTTGGAAGAGCAGAAAATATGCTCATTTCACGTTTAAATTTCTCACTGTCTAAATTTAATGACAGGACATTCTTTAATTTCTTTTTTACTTTTTTTTTTGGTTAAGTACGTAGATTCCCCATTGACTCGAAATATTTGTCTTATATGGGGAGTGAATATTAAGAAAACATGCTAAGACGTTGAAGCCGTTCTCATCAAGTTCAAAAATGAATTAATACTCATTCAATTGCATGTTTCTTTCTAATATTGTTTTTGTTGAACCATTTAAATTTGTATTCGCTTAGTGTTGCCAGCATAAATTAAAATAAATTATCTTTTTCAGTCAGATATTGACCAGTTAAACCAATTTTTGCTTGGTTAGCATAAAACATATGGGTTACAATAAAAAGGGTGAGCTCTGGTACTAAGGGATGAAGAGAGGTAAAATAGGTGAAACGACTTTGATAAATTCTGGATCTATTGGACATATTTGTATCAATCTCTTTTTGCATGCTTTCAATTGATCTACTGTTAAATGCATTTTTCCATTTTGAGTACTTAATCATCTCAGGTTCAGTCACGATAGAAAAGATTAGGATATTATTTTACAAAATTGTGTACTATATAACTTGGCATACATGTGCAATGCACATGCCGAGAAACTAGTTATATTAAAAGCATTAACACCCTTAGCGAAATATCGTTTGCCATTTTTATCCTCTAAAAATAGAGTTCGCACTGGACAAAATAATCAATTTTATTAATTTCCTAATATTTAAGACATAAAATCAACTAAAATTTTGTTTATTAAATATTTCCTTATTTGAACTATGTATGAAGTCCTAATATTTAGGACTATAGAATCGATTAATATTTTACCTTCTTTAAATCATTTTCTTATTTGAATTATATAACATAACTATAATATACTTCATGTAATTTGCCTAATATTTAAAATTTTGAAATCAACTAAATTTTCAAGTATTCCCGTATTAAACAGTATTCGGACGTGTGAGGAAGAGCTCTGTAATGACCTGACAGGTCATTTTGCTTTCTAGAACCTCGTTCCCCTAAATAAGACTTACGTACTTGCTTTTACTGATTTATAACTTGCGGGGATGGTTAGTTCGGGATTTTGAAGAGTTTGGGTTGAAATTGGAACATTTGGTTCCTTAAGGTTTGCTTAAAAGGTCAAGTTTAACTTTGGTCAATGATAATAGGCTATATAGTGTTATTTACACCATAATTGCACATGCTTTGTTGTTGTTGTTTTATAATGTAAGTTGTCAATAAAATGCTTTAATTAATGCTATTTGGTTTCGCAGGGAATATAAGATATGAGGAAGCAACATGAAGTGTTTAGAGGCAATAACGTAAAGAAAACACCCACTCAAGAAGTACCCAAACACAAAAGAGCAAAAAGAGAAGGAATGCGGAGACAAAAAGGCCCAGCATACTCACTGCGGTCCGCGCCGCGGTCGACGCTGCGGCCGCGGCGGCATGTTCATAGTCCAGAAAGTTAAGGGGCCAAAGTGTCAATTCGGAAAAACTTTTGTAAAACCCTTATAAGATGTAGGAAACTCGCCCAAGAGAAAAAGGGACTTATTTTGAGATTATTTTGGCAAGAAGAACAAGTGTGAGAGATCACCCAAAACATCATAGTTCTTATTCTCTCCTATCTTTCTTGCAATTTTCCATTATGAATATTTTCGTAGTTTATTCTTACGTTGTCATGAGTAGCTAAATACTTTAATCTAAGGTTTTGGTGAAACCCGTTGGGGATGACTTGGTTGTTATATTAATATAGTTTGAATTGGTTGTTAATCTCTATTTGTTCATCTACGTTTTGATTGTGGTTAGTTGAAAGGGCCCTCAATTATCTGTTCCTATTTATTATGTATCTTCTTGAGAGAGAGTGCATATTTAGGTAGTTGTTTGAACAACATCACTCCCGGAGTATAGACGAGAGTCATAACCGAGGGTTTAGAGATTGGATTAGAGATAACGATACCTCGGGTGCAATCTAAAAGAATGGTAATGTGAATCTAGCTAGCGTAGCTTGAGAGAGTGCGTCTAGTAAATTATCATAATTGCTTGAGAGAGATTTATGATAGCTGGAGAGTTCTTGATTGATAGAGACAACTAAGGTATCGCTATAAGAAACATACAACCAAGGAAATCACCAACGGGGGAAACCATTACCTTAGACCTTATTCCAACTGTTTACACATGAAGCATAGTTAATTTTCAGCTGTTAATTATTTTTAGACTTTAGTAGTTAGAAACATCATCAATTGTAAATTACAAAGTTTGGGAAAAATTGATTCTGTGAATTTAGTAAATCAGTCAAAAGTAATTGATAGGTTAATTTTTTGTGGTTCGACTCTGGGCAGAATTACTCAGATTATATTTGCTATGTCCGGTGTGTCTTTGTATAAGGCATAGTTTGGCGTTATCAAATTTTGGCGCCGTTGCCGGGGTCCGAGCCGCGGTCGCGGTGAAAACTTGAACTTTCAGTGATTTTCTCGGTTTGCGGTCCTCGAAGCGGTCGCGGCTGACAAAATTTGATAATGCCAAACTATGCCTTATACAAAGACACACACGGACGTACCAAATATAATCTGAGTAATTCTGCCCAGAGTCGAACCACTGAGAATTAACCTATCAATTACTTTTGACTGATTTACTAAATTCACATAATCAATTTTTCCCAAACTTTGTAAAGGCATAGTTTGGCGTTATCAAATTTTGACGCCGTTGCCGGGGAATTAACGGTGTTATCATTATAATTGAGAGAAGTACAAAAATTCTAAGTGTAGTCAGTTTTCTCTATACCCAATCTTTTCATTGAAATTCTAACGTTTGAACTCTTGTGGAAAGCAGGTATATACCTAAAAGGTCTTCGAGGACTGGAAAACTGCTAGAAGGACTCTCAGACCCCAAGAAAACATTCAGGGCATTGAACCGTGCCAACAAAAGACTTCAACAATCTCAACAATTACACCAACTCGAATTTGACATGGGTGACGTAGATAACATCAACAGAAACGTCAGGAATGAGCCAGCTGACTTAATTGTCAGAAGGGTGACACCTCTTGTGCCCGAAGCTGCACTTTATGACTGGGCACAACCCACAGCTGATAATTTGGCCACTGCCATAGTTGTGCCCGCAATTCAGCGGAGACATTCCAGATCACCAACAACATGCTGCATCTGCTGCAGAATAAAGGATTGTTCTCCGGGTCACACATTGAAGACCTGCAACAACACTTGAAGAATTTTTTGTCAATTTGTATGACCCAAAGGCAGCCAAATGCAACTCTTGAAGCTATCAAGCTTCTACTGTTTCCATTCTCAGTAACCGGGGAAGCTCAGACTTGGCTAAATTCGCTCCCTATCAACTCTATTACCACCTGGGAGGAATTAGTCAAGCAGTTCCTAAACAACTTCTACCCGCCTAACAAGACTGCAAAACAGATTGATGACATATTGCAGTATAGGCAGCAGCCCTCTGAGTCCTTGCAAGAAACTTGGGAAAGATTTAAAGGGATGTTAGTGAAGTGTCCTCACCATGGCATTCCAGACCAGATGCTCGGCCAGAGATTCTACATGGGGCTAGCTGACAATTTGAAAGCAAATGTGGATGCGTCAGCTAGAGGTGCATTTTTAAGTAAAACATTCACTGAATGCAAAATCCTTCTCGATAAGATGTCACAAAATTCGGGGTGGATGACTAGAGGTACAACACTGGCACCCATAGTGCATTCAGTTCCTCTTGACCCAAATAATTCGCATGCAGAGAACATGGCCACACTCATGACCCAGATGAGCATATTGATAAAGAAGATTGATGATATGGGTACAAAACAGGTGCACATTGTTGATACAACAATTGGGTGATTGTGTACACCTTGTATTAATCAGTCTTATGTGTGTTCATGGAGCGGAGAAGGTGAAAATCAAGGGGCAAAGGAAGATATGAATTATGTCAACAACTATGGGGGTCAGAGTCAAGGAGCACAACAGTGGAGACCGCAGCAAAATCAGCAGTACAGGCCTAATATGCAGCAGCCTGGGGGTATGCACCCTCAAAACCAATTGGTGCCAGTACCATATCAGAAACCACAGGGCTATCCACAACAAAATCAGCAATAATTGACATACCAACCACCCCCTCAGCAGCAAGATAACAACATGGTGGAAATCAGGGGTATGCTTCAGCAACTCATTGGGACAAATAATAAAGTGCAGGAAAAATTGGCAGTGCATGATTCAGCCATAAAGAATATTGAAACGCAGCTGGGTCAGCTGTCCATGGCTTTGAACAACCGTCCTCAGGGAACTTTGCCTGCAGACACAAACATAAACCCCAAGGACCAAAACACAAATCAGTTGATGGCAGTAAGTCTCTGGAATGGGAGAGATTTAGATAGATAGTAGAAAATTGCACAAGCCAGCAAGGACACTACACCAGCCACTCCAGTTCAATTAGAGGTATAGGAACCAACAGAACTTACTGAAGTGGTGGTTGAGCAGAGTCAGGAGGAAAAAGGCAAAGAAAAGATAAATGAGCAAGTTGTAGAACAGGTGGCACCTCTTGTGCCAGAAAATTCTAACAGAGTGAAGCCAGTAAGCAATGCACAAAGGGTGATACCTGCACCCTTCCCTCAGAGACTGGTCAAACAAAAGAAGGCAGACCAATATAAGAAGTTCATGGAGATACTGCGTCAAATTCAGTTGAATATTCCTTTGATGGATGCCTTGAGGGAGATGCTCGGTTATTCTAAGATGATGAAAGATCTAATGTCATGGAAGTTTAATTTTCAGGATCTATCCACTGTAACTTTGACACAGACCTACAGTGCAGTGGTGGCAAAACCGATGGCTCAAAAGATGTCGGACCCAGGTAGCTTCACTATTCCATGCACAATTGGAAGTTATGCCTTTGCAAAGGCGTTGTGTGATTTGGGAGCCATCATAAATCTGATGCCGCTGGCTGTGTACACCAAACTGGGCATTGGTAGAGCTAGGCCAACTTTGATACTGCTACAGCTGGCTGACCGCACAGTGAAGAGGCCTACTGGTATTCTTGATGATGTGTTGGTACAAGTGGGGAAATTCGTGTTCCTTGCAGACTTTGTTATCTTGGATTGTCAGGTGGATGAGGAGATACCCCTTATTTTAGGGAGACCATTTTTAGCCACGTGGAGAGCACTGATCGACTGTGAAACTAGGGAATTAAAAATGAGATTGAACGATGAAGAAGTCGTATTCAATGTTCAGCAATCTATGAGGAGACCTTGTGAATATGCTAATTGCTCTCTAGTGGAAGCAGTGGATGTAATCCTGCAAGAAGATGATATGACCCTAACTGTAAAAGATCCATTGGAGGCATGTCTGACGAATTTAGAAGAAATGGATGGTGAAGGGTTAGCTAAATGGGTCATGGCACTGGAAGGCCGAGGATTTTGGTCAAGGGAACCTCAGTTCGAGTCCTTTGAGCTAGAAAAAAGGGCCACTCCTCCAGCAAAGCAATCAATAGAGGAACCACCCAAGTTGGAACTGAAGCCACTCCCAGATCACCTCAGGTATGTGTTCTTAGGCCCTGAATCGACCTTGCCTGTTATCATATTATCTGGTTTGTTAGATGTGTAGGTAGAACGGCTCGTACAGGTACTGTAGGAAAACAAGACTGCCATTAGCTGGACCATGGCAGACATAAAGGGTATCAGCCCAGCCTTCTGTATGCATAAGATTCTCCTGGAAGAGGGGCACAGACCTTCTAGGGAACACCAATGAAGGTTGAACCCAAACATGAAAGAGGTTGTAAAGAAAGAAGTAATCAAATGGTTAGATGCGGGAATCATCTTCCCCATCTCTGATAGTAATTGGGTCAGCCCTGTCCAATGTGTGCCGAAAAAGGGAGGAATGACTGTTGTAAAAAATGAGAACAATGAGTTGATCTCAACTCGTACAGTCACAGGGTGGCGTATCTGCATGGATTACAGAAAATTGAACACAGCCACCCGGAAGGACCATTCCTTCCTACCTTTCATTGACCAAATGTTGGATAGGCTGGCTGGGCGATCGCAGTTCTATTTCTTGGATGGATATTCGGGGTACAATCAGATATCAATAACCCCCGAAGATAGAGAGAAAACGTCTTTCACCTGTCCGTATAGCATCTTTGCCTTTCAGAGAATGCTTTTTGGGCTCAATGCACCCGCGACTTTTCAACGGTGCATGTTAGCCATCTTCACAGACATGGTGGAGGATATTATGGAGGTCTTTATGGATGATTTCTCCGTGGTGGGAGATTCATTCGAAAACTGTCTTCACAACTTAAGGAGAGTGCTTAAAAGATGTGTGGAGACAAACTTAGTGCTAAACTAGGAGGAGTGTCATTTTATCGTACAAGAAGGTATAGTTCTGGGGTATCGAGTGTCTAGTAAAGGAATTGAGGTCGACCATGCTAAGGTTGACGTGATTGAGAAGTTACCAATGCCCACTTCAGTTAAGGCGGTGAGAAGTTTTCTTGGACACGCTGGATTCTACCGGCGTTTCATAAAAGATTTTTCCAAAATTGCTAACCCATTATGCAAACTCCTTGAAAAGGACCATCCCTTTGTGTTTTCTAATGATTGCAGGTTGGCATTTCAGGAACTGAAGAAGAGATTGATCACTGCACCCATCATTGTTGCACCCAACTAGGAGCAACCATTTGAGCTCATGTGTGATACCAGCGACTGTGCTATAAGAGAAGTCTTGGAGTAGTGAGAAGATAAGCTGATGCACCTGATTTACTGTGCAAGCATAACGATAAGCGGTGCATAGCTTAATTACACAGTGACGGAGAAGGAGATGTTGTCAGTGGTGTTTGCGTTTGACAAGTTCCGATCATATCTGATTGGTTCCAAGGTAATTGTAAACACTGACCATGCAGCACTCAAGTACCTAATTGAGAAAAAGGAGTCTAAGTCGCGCCTGATTCGTTGGGTGCTACTGTTGCAAGAATTCAACCTCGAAATTTATGACCGTAAGGGCACAAAAAATCAAGTCGCTGATCATCTATCGCGACTTGAAGGAGCTGAAAAATCAGTCGAGGTCGAAGAGATCCTGGAAACCTTTCCAGACGAGCAGATGCTCGTAGCCAGTCTTGAGGAAGCGCCATGGTATGCAGATTTTGCAAACTACCTGGCCTGCGATATTGTTCCCTATGACCTTTCACCTGTCCAAAAGAAAATGTTTTATCTTGATTGCCGCATGTATTATTGGGACGAGCCTTATTTGTTTAGAATCTGTGTTGATAATATGATCCAGAGGTGTGTCCCCGAGATAGAACAATCTTCAGGCTTGTCACGCATCAGCATATGGAGGACATTTTGGATGAGCCAGGACAGCTGCGAAAGTGCTAAAGGTCGGGTTCTTTTAGCCAATAGTGTTTAGAGATGCCACCTATGGGTGAAGGGATGCAACGAATGTTAGCAAACCGGGAACATTTCCCGTCGCCACGAGATGCCCATGAACCCGATTCAAGAGGTAGAGGTGTTTGATGTTTGGGGGATTGACTTCATGGGCCCCTTCGTCAGCTCATTTGGCAATAAATACATACTTGTTATTGTGGATTACGTGTCTAAATGGGTGGAAGCTGCAGCGTTGCCCACTAATGATGCAAGAGTGGTGATAGGTTTTGTGAAAAAGAATATATTCACCCAATTTGGGATACCAAGAGCGATCATCAGTGATGGAGACACTCACTTCTGTAACAGAGCCTTCGAGATATTGCTTGCAAAGTATGATGTACGCCACAAGGTGGCTACCCCTTACCATCCACAAACCAGTGGGCAGGTTGAAGTGTCCAACAGGGAGATAAAAAGTGTACTAACCAAGGCGGAGAATGCCACACGAACTGATTGGGAAAAGAAGCTTGATGACGCACTTTGGGCCTATAGAACTGCGTTCAAAACACCAATAGGTATGTCACCATACAAGTTGGTATTTGGGAAGGCCTGTCACCTGCCTGTGGAGCTAGAACATCGAGCTTGGTGGGCACTAAAACAATTGAACATGGATCCCGAAGCAGCTGGACAAAATCGACTGACAGAGTTGCATGAGCTGGAAGAATTTAGATATTAAGACTTTGAAAGCATGAGGCTCTACAAGGAAAGAATAAAGAAGATGCATGATAAGCACATTGTGGACAGAAATTTCAAACCCGGTGACAAGGTATTATTGTATAATTCAAGGCTGAGATTGTTTTCGGGTAAGTTAAAGTCCCGATGGTCGGGACCATTTAGAGTGGTGCAAATGTTTGCAAGTGGAGCTGTCGAGATTGAGTCAGAAGATGGGACAGACAAGTTCTCAGTAAATGGGCAAAGGTTGAAACATTACCTTGTAATAGCTGAAGAAAAAGGGAATACAGTGGTGATCAATTTGAAAGAACCCCCAGTACGCGAATGAGGAGTGAAGGCTCAACCACTTGCGTCGTGCCGCGACATTAAATCAGGCGTTGCGTGGGAGGAAACCCACGAATGTGTTGTAAGTGTAGTATGTAACTTCATGTAAAAAAAATAAAATTTTGCCAGCCGCGACCGTGGGTGGACCGCGGAAATCACTGAACGTTCAAGTTTTCACCGCGGATGCGGCTCGGACCGCGGTAACGAACGCGGGGGACTCTGTCCAAGACCGCGGCGTAAACCGCGGGGGACTCTGTCCCAGACCGCGGCGTCGACCGCGGTGACGTCCGCTGATATTTTAATTTTTTTTCCCACTCTTCTTTTTAATTTTAAAACCCTTCCCTATATCAAAATAAACAATCCCTCCCCTAAAATTCTCACTTCCCTCTCTCTCTAAACCATAACCCTCTCCTCCATACTCTTTTCTTCTTCCTCTTCCTTCACAACACCCCTCATCTTTTTCCCCCCCAAGGTATGTTTCCGACCCCCCCCTTCTCCTTTCCTTCTATTGTTTTTGTTGCATTATGCTAGTTCATGTTGTTCTAATGTAGTGTTAGTGATAGGATTTTGTTTTGTTTAGTTCTTCTTCTTCTTTAAAGTGTAATTTCGTTTTTAGCATATGTCTGGTGAAGGGGCTGTGTTTTGAATGTTTGGAATGGT